GTCATGAGGGAGTCTGGGGCCAGGGGGAGGCCGAGCTGCGGGTCGGAGAGTAGGGACGGCAGCTGAAAGGGGGAGGAGCCGCCGCCGGCCCCCATGTACAAAGAGTTTGGGGCTCTGGCCAAGCCGTGGTTCATGGAGGAAGGCGGCACTCCGAAACCTCCCAGGCCGGGGTAACCGTACTGTGTGTAGGGGTGTCTCTTGCTGGAGGGCCAGATGCCCAGCTGGTCAGGCGGCGGCTCTTTGCGTTTTCTGGGCAGCGTTCTGGGAGCTTGGTTCAAACTTTGGGGTTGCATCATGGGGTTGGGCAGCTGGGGGGCGTTGTTGGACCCTCGGGAAGAACCCGAATCTCGGTACTGGTGCAGCTCACCCAGAATCTCCGGACTGTCGGGGGAGGCCGGCCGCTGCTGCTGCTCATCCTTCTCCTGGGAGGCCGGGCTTGAAGTATGGCGACCATTGCTCATGTACGGGCCGGGCTGAGGCTGCGCGCCTAGGAGCAAAGGACACAACTGTCACAAAAACATAGAACCCCCCAAAATGCCCCCCGGCCTCGAAAGTAAAACAGTAAATCTGTTGTGGTCCCTTTAACAGAAATGAAAGCCCAATTGCTGCACGTGTCCCAATATAGCCCCAAGACCACATTCTGCCCTCTACTGGACTCACTTATATCCACTCCCTGCCTCTTACCTCCACCACCACCCTCCAGCCTCCCCACCACCGTCCAGCCTCCCCAGTCCCTCACCACCACCACCCTCCCCAGTCCTTCACCACCACCGTCCAGCCTCCCAAGTCCCTCACCACCACCGTCCAGCCTCCCCAGTCCCTCACCACCACCGTCCAGCCTCCCCAGTCCCTCACCACCACCGTCCACCCTCCCCAGTCCTTCACCACCACCGTCCAGCCTCCCAAGTCCCTCACCACCACCGTCCAGCCTCCCCAGTCCCTCACCACCACCGTCCAGCCTCCCCAGTCCCTCACCACCACCACCCTCCCCAGTCCTTCACCACCACCGTCCAGCCTCCCAAGTCCCTCACCACCACCGTCCAGCCTCCCCAGTCCCTCACCACCACCGTCCAGCCTCCCCAGTCCCTCACCACCACCGTCCAGCCTCCCCAGTCCCTCACCACCACCATCCTCCCCAGTCCTTCACCACCACCGTCCAGCCTCCCAAGTCCCTCACCACCACCGTCCAGCCTCCCCAGTCCCTCACCACCACCGTCCAGCCTCCCCAGTCCCTCACCACCACCATCCACCCTCCCCAGTCCTTCACCACCACCGTCCACCCTCCCCAGTCCTTCACCACCACCGTCCAGCCTCCCAAGTCCCTCACCACCACCGTCCCCAGTCCTTCACCACCACCGTCCAGCCTCCCCAGTCCCTCACCACCACCGTCCACCCTCCCCAGTCCTTCACCACCACCGTCCACCCTCCCCAGTCCTTCACCACCACCGTCCAGCCTCCCAAGTCCCTCACCACCACCGTCCACCCTCCCCAGTCCCTCACCACCACCGTCCACCCTCCCCAGTCCCTCACCACCACCGTCCACCCTCCCCAGTCCCTCACCACCACCGTCCACCCTCCCCAGTCCCTCACCACCACCGTCCACCCTCCCCAGTCCCTCACCACCACCGTCCACCCTCCCCAGTCCCTCACCACCACCGTCCACCCTCCCCAGTCCCTCACCACCACCGTCCACCCTCCCCAGTCCCTCACCACCACCGTCCACCCTCCCCAGTCCCTCACCACCAACGTCCAGCCTCCCCAGTCCCTCACCACCACCGTCCACCCTCCCCAGTCCCTCACCACCACCGTCCACCCTCCCCAGTCCCTCACCACCACCGTCCACCCTCCCCAGTCCCTCACCACCACCGTCCACCCTCCCCAGTCCCTCACCACCACCGTCCACCCTCCCCAGTCCCTCACCACCACCGTCCACCCTCCCCAGTCCCTCACCACCACCGTCCAGCCTCCCCAGTCCCTCACCACCACCGTCCGCCCTCCCCAGTCCCTCGCCACCACCGTCCGTCTTTGTAACGCATCCTCCTGGTCAGCAATGACAGTGTTACAATGCGTTACCGTGATGAAGAGGTAACAACTTACCTGTAGGTGGAGGACGCCGAGGTTCCGAACTCTTCTTACCACTGGACCGGATGGCAAATATCCTCCCGTCACTGGTGCGAATGTACGTTCCTGCAGATATCAATGAAGAAAACGAGGATACAGTAAACGAAGGATCACATGAATCTGTGGCACTAGGCCCCGCCCCGTGACCTTACATGAGAACACTCTACTTCTCTGACAGCAACCAATCAGAGTCTCCAAGACACGGTCTAATCCACCCTAATAGTGCAAGTACCTGGTATCAGCCTCTGTACAGCACAGCTCAGACTGGTGGAGGGAGAAGCAGCACAAGGAGCCAATCAGTTATGCTGCAGTGAATGGAGCATGCTAATAGGAGAGAGCAGAGTGACAGAATGATGAACTCTTCTGCTTCTCCTCTCACCGTCCAATCCAGAGCCATAGCTCGCTCCTTTTGCGCCCGAGGTAAGAACAGAAAATTGTGCCCCCCCCCCCAACAGACGTGTGATAAGCTCCCTCCTCCGCCCGCAATGCTCCATTTCTCATCGGATCCCTGCTGCCTCTGCCCATACAGGCGAGGGAGAGCAGCAAGGATCTGAGGAGAAGCTGGAGCTTGTGCCGCCCCACTTCTCCCTGCCGAGCCGCGGCTGTGTTGGCTACCTGGCACCCCTGTTGCCATGGCGCCCTGTGCATGCCACAGCAACAGGAACGAGGGGGGCGCAGCCAGCCCGGCCGCGCCCCCTCTCAGCTGCGCCTGAGGCGAATGCCTCACTCGCCCCATGGTAGCTACAGCCCTGGTCCAATCACAGGCCGGGGGACAGACAAGACCTGTGAGTGTTATTTTACTGCAGCAGAGAAAAATCAAGTCTCTCGCCCAGTCTGAGAGGACTGCGCTGTGCGGCGATTCAGTGTAAACATTTCAGGACTGGATGGACACGAAAGGAATTCCTTTGGCAGGTGAAACAGCCACTGATGTTAGAGGTGAATGTGGCGGCTCGGCTGGAGTTCAGCTATGAGGGCGAGATGGCCTCTGGGGTGTTACACCATCACCGGCCTCCTGGGGATCACTTACCCTTTGTGCCGCGGATGACATGTATGCTCTCCCCGGCGCTGATCCGGGCCTGCACGTCTGTAGAGGTCGTCATTCCGGGAATCACAATGTCTGAAGGAGACAGGGAAAGACGGAGGTCACTCCTCAGCAGACGAGGCATTGGAGGATAAAAAGCACCGAGGAGTACGGGGCGGCTCTGCTCACCTGTGGTGGTCACCACCTTCTGCACCAGGACGCCGGCCCTTTGTAGATAGTTGACCGGGAAGTTGAAGGGATGGAGAGAACCGGAGGCGGAGCCGGGGTGGTTAGCAGGCATGTGCCTAGGCATCATGGGGATCGGTGTGGACTGCAGAGGTCGGACGCTGGCCACCGGCCTGTCATCACCTTTTAGCAGCGAACGCCTGAAAGAGAGAGATTCATATTCATCGGATCACAGCCGCAAATCACCAGAACTCCCTGTGCCCCCTGCCACCAAAATCATACTCCCTGTGCCACCTGCCACCAAAATCATACTCCCTGCGCCACCTCC